GCGCGGTGGGCGTCTCGTACTGACGGAGCAAGGACCAATAAAAAAAAAATATATATATAAACCAAATAACACTGGATTTGGCATTTTGTGCATAGATGGATGGGGTGGGAGTGAATCCGTTACTCTTTTTCTGCACCTGACTGCCTGACCACTGACAGCGCACATGCACGGACCTCCACTTCGCCAGTCGCAGCAGTATCATCAACAACAACACGATACAACCGTAAGGGAAAGCGAAATAATTCGTCGAGCTCCTACGCACCTGTTTCAGGGATTGATCCGCCCAGCGCTCTACATCCTGGAGGTAGAAGGAACACTGCAGCAGAAAACACTGGCTGTCGAGCTTTAGTCCTGCTTTGCGCCATATTTTCTGAACACCGTCACGCACACACACGCACACACACCATGGTCACCAGCACTCACCAGCACCAGGGGGTCGAGATGCCGCCGTCTACGGCGCCAACGCAGCAGTCCTACAACCGCCAGGGCTCGCGAGGGATCGTCCGCCTAAACGTGGGGTAAGTGGCGTGCCCGTCAGGGATGCAATAACATGCTCTGCCCTTTTTTTTTCCGCCCATCGATGAGAAGGAGGTACGTAGTGCGCAGGGTACGCCGTTGGCGCATTTTGCTCGAGGAAATAAGAGAAACGCACGGTCTCTCACCCTTGTGCAAGGCAGGCGGTGGTGGCCAGCAAACGGGATAGGCGTTGACACCGCTCCCGTGTGGGGGAGGGCAATGTCTGCTCTGGTCGTAGCAGCGGGGGAGGCATCACAAACAACATGGCAGACAGACGGACAGAAACACACGAAAAACCATGGCGGGAAATAACGTGATCAACACCGCGAGAGCATCATGCGAGCATGGGGTTGTACATTGTACATAGCCCCTTGATATCTCACGCGCCCGCTGTTGCTACTTGAGAAAACGAGGCGATGAAGGCAATCGTCGCTTGTTTGTGCTAGTTGAACAGTTCCTGGGAACGCATCGTGAAGGCGGCATGCCATGCTACCACGTCCTGCAAGTTGTTGGAACCTGAATGCTTCTTTTTTGCCCCGATTCCTCCGCAGCTGCTCCGGGTGTCCATGAGTTTCTCGAAGGGGTCAAGTGTCCAGGAAACATACATGGCATAATTGGCATTGACGACGAAATGGAGAGAGTCTATAGCGGATGGTGTTAGTAGATGGCGTGTAGACAGCGGTAGGTTCTCTGTTTCGTTAGCAACTTGCGTGATCCCATCATCACACCCCTGCATGCAACCGCAGGAGGGGGTCCAGCCCCCCCCTCCTATGTGACCCCGGTTGGGTCCTCTAGCTGGTAGAAGTGGAGGATAGGGGCCAGAGGGGCAGACGACCGAGTCCAATGATGGGAGAAAAACAAACAAACAAAAACCCCTGCATGCACATGTGAGTATACAATGAGATTCCGGCGACTCCGTTTTTACAGACTTGAGATCAGGGAAGGTGCATCATGTGAAGTGCCGGTAGCAACGTAACACATCTGATGTGTTGATCGGTGAAAGCAACCGCTGATGCGCACTGGAGCCACCCCCACCCTCCCAAACGCCGTTAGCTATTGTTCCCGGCTGCCCTACGCAGTTCTTTTAGTGCCGATTTCCTTGCGTACAGTAGTTACCCTTCCACATAGCAAAAGCATCAGTGGAAATGAACGTTTCATCGGCACCACAACTCTTCTCGTCGTGCTCTCCATCGTCGTTTGTATCAGGGGCAAGAAGTTTCTGACGTCGCGGTCGACCATCATGCAGGCTGGCAACTGCATGCTGGCCTCCATGTTCAGAGGAAAGTTCAACATGGAGACCGACGAGGAAGGGTTCGCCTTCATCGACCGGGACGGTGGGTAGTAACGCGTACACTCCTGTGTAGCGTAGCGTAGCTCCCTGATGGCCGTAACCTGCCGCTGCTGCAGGCATACACCTGTGGGTACAGATATGCATGCATGCAACGTGTCTCGCGCAGTGGGAGGGGGGCTGTGCCCTGGCTCTTGGACGTCGCGTCGTGACGTGTCTAATAACAAGTACCACGTGTTCTTTTTTTGTCGTGCTTATGATGTACATCGCATGCATAGGCGTGTGTGTTGTCAAGAGCGCTGCTTTTGCTGCGTATAATTATGTCGATGTTTCCACGTGCAGCATCAAGGAATGTAGCAAATGGCGTGTGCGTGTTTTGCTTGACCAACACCGTGCCGATCAGCCCAGGCCTGTGCCTACACATGCTTACGCCTTCCACTCCCTTCGGTGTTCTTATGCCAGACGGTTGTGTTAGTCATCCCGAGGGTGTAAAATCAGCAACGACAACGTTCATGTTGCCGTTAAAGACGCGTGCCATCCCGATTGACTCTCGTATACAGCACGTAGCAGTGTCAAAGGCGTTCGAGAGTGCCTTGCACATTCACACCCCACCCCCGCTATCTCTCACTGACCTCTCTCTCGCTCGCCCTCCCCCTCTCCTTTTCTCCTTCCCTCCCTCTCTTGTCCCCCCTCTTTCTCCCCCCTCATCTCTAGGAGAGAGGTTTCGGCACGTGCTCAACTTCCTCCGTTGCTCGAGCCTCCCTTCCTTTGATGAAGCCTGGCGGTACGAGGAAATCATGGAGGAGGCAGACTTCTACGCGATCGAGGAACTCAAGGAGGTGAGAAACAAGACCACCGGTAGAGCACCTTGCTTGGTTCGTTGCTTGCTGCTTTGCCCGTGCTTCCCCTGTTTTGATGGTTTGTGACCGCAACGCGCGGTTTCGTTGACTGGTTGGATTGTCACAGCAGAGAAGTTGATACTTAATTGGTTATGTCCAGACAGCAACACCCAGGACGACTGTGATGAAAGTCCTATCGGACTTGCAGTTGTCCCTGGCGTTGAAATAATGTTGATTCGTTGCACAAGTCAAATATCGAAGGGCGAGAGGATTTACACCGTCAAGAGTCTGGCGGGAAGCAACCACGATAATTTGCCATTCATTGGGTTCAATGCGGTGAGAGACGGACGGTCGCCTTCATCACACGACGGGATTATGTAAGGTTTTGTTGCGTCTAGCTAAGGCTTTGAGTACCGCAGTAGAGTACCAAGTACGTAGAAGGTTGATGAACAGCGGTTCACCGGTAGCAGCAAAAGGAGCAACACCAGCATATAGGCTTTGCGTGCGAAGCATTGTCTAAGTCAAGAGGACAATTTCAAGGCTTTCAACTGCTGTAGACGAAAGGGTACTACGGGAGTCTCTCAAGGCTTTTGTGTCCCTCCCCCTCCCTCCCTGTATTGTAGGACGGTGTATTGAACGTGGCAATGAGAGTCGGTCAGTGCCTGGCCACTTGCCCTTGGCTGGTTGAATTACCCAACATCTCCCTTTCGTGTTCGTGTCCGAGGTAAAGTGAAGGCGATGACACCCACTTCTACGTACTGTAGAGTCGAAAAACGGTTACCGATGCAACTGCCTGCTGAGTCGCACCAAAACGCGCCTCAAGAGATGTTTCAACAACGCTTTTACGCGGGTTGCAACTAGGAACAACTTGGTTCACCCTGCCGTGCACTTTCAAATACCCGCACCCGCCAGCCTTCCACTTACCCCCACTACCACCACCTCCTGCTGCTGCTGCTATTGTTGTTCTTTATTTCTGTCAGCTTTGCGAGAGACAACTCGAGGCCCTCAAAGAAGCGAAGCGAAAGGAAAAGGCCAAGTCGTTCACGTGCAGGGTCACGATAGTGGAGGGAGCGGCGGACGGCGCCGCCGGCCAGGGGAGCGGCGGCCGCGGCGGCGTTGGCACCGCCAGGGAGCGCTACGGAACCGGACACTTTACCCTCGACGAGGACTTTTGATCTTTTTTGTTTTGCTTTTTCGGCCCCATTAAGATAGGCGTCCTCCGATTGGTCGAGGTGTTGTGGTTTGTATTCGTGGTTGATGTTTTCGTGGCGTGTGTTCGTTTTCCCATCGAGCGTGTGAGTTATTTGATTGGTTGGTTGATGTGAAAGGGGTACCTACGTGTTGCTTACAGAGTTTCGATGCACTCTGTACCGCACGATCAGCGAAAGTAGTGGATGTTGAATTTGTGGACGCGCTTAACTTACCAGCCAATCAACTCCCTCCGCTCCCGCGCTCACACGCTCATATCAGCTAGCTCCTTGTCTTGTTGAGGTGGTTCTCCTAGGGTTTTCTCGACGATGCTATATACATCGGGTGTGATCTGTTACCCTCAAAGAAGGGAGTGTCGGTATTTACGAGTTTTTTTTCGCTTTTTCTTGCGCTCGGGGTGTTGGGCGAACGTCATGAGAGTCTCCCCATCGCGCGTGCATGATGCTTGTGGATGTTTGTTGGTGCGGGCAGGTTGTATGTAGAGATGGGGTCGGGGGGATTTCTCCCAGCACAGCAGCGTATGTAGCACACTACAGCAATGGATTGTTTGTTTGAAGCGATTCACAGGCCTCGATGAGGGGGCAGGGGCAGGTCAAGCTGTCCTGGTACGTGTCCGTATTTTTTCGTTAACTGTCTGGTGGTATTTGTTGGTTGTAAACCGTGGTTTAGTTGTATTGCTACACGCGACGCTGACACAAACACATGATGGATTGGTTAGTTGCCTTGGCTATCTGTTGAGCTCTTCTACGTACGAGACATGGCATGTGGTCCCGTCCTCAAGAGAGTCGCTGTGTGGTTGTGCCTCGCCATATTTGGACGAGAGATGGGAGCGAGCGAAGAGAGGGTGAATTCATGAGCACACGGTAACGGTTTTCAGATTCGGCGTTGTTGTGTACCATAGGGGTTGGGGGATGATGTCCCCCGGCCCTTTGGTCCGTGTTGGGAGGAGTTGTGGCCGTGGCCATCTGTTCACCCGGCGGGGGGTGCGCAGTCGGCAAAGGACTCGCAAGGGGCAAGGACGCGCGCATGTTGTGGGCAATGATGCGAGAGTGCGTGTGATGTGTTGAGGCGCATTGTTGAGGTACAAAATGATTTGATCTCATTGCCTCTTGTGTGTTTGTTATGGGTGCGGGGAGGAAATAGAAGGAACGCGCCGTCCAACCGGAATTCGATATTATTCATGTTTTCTCTACTTGGTTCGTGCGGGGTGCGGTGAAATTTGGACAAAAGGGAGTAATCTTGTTTGACGCCTTTTCTTCCTTTGCTTCTCGTGCGGTCTCTATTCGTCATGTGCCTGTTTGGTCGCGTGAGTGCGTGGGTGGTGTCTGTCTTTGTGATGGCCACGGCTGTTTGGTCGTTGTGTCTTTCTGTCCACGCGATGAATGAACTATGAATCACCACTACAAGGAAGCTGTCATTGGCCCTGCCCCCTCTTCATCCGCGTAAAGCAGTGATGGCGTGGTGGTGCACGGAGGAGCGGTTGTTCGGACCCGGTGTCGTTGGTGTGGGGCTTTGGGCTACCGAGGGAGGCCTCTATAGTGCCGAGGTGTGTCCCGATATTTTTCCGGCAGAACGACTTGGTATCCGGTGTGTGCGAGCCGAAAACACCGGCACTATAGAGGGTCCCCCACTGTATCCCTTCTTATCACTTTTCTTCGATCGCTGGGATCAAACTTCTTCGTCATTACCACCAGCTTTCGGGTCGACACTCGAACAAACGCCATGCATCATGCGCTTGCAATTAGTATCCTCCGTGAAGGGTAGATTTTCCCCTCTTCTTTCTGTTTGACCTGAAGTATCGAACGAGCGATCAGATTGATGCGCTATTCCACAACAAGGGCGAGCTCCGCGACATGTCCTCATCAAAACCAACCCCCCTCGCATTTGTACAAGTCGATCGGAGAAATAGCGGAACGACAAGAAAAGGGAAATAGAAAGTACTTGCCCTGTGAACCACCTGCCGCATTGATCGCTGCGAAAGCAGCACTCGAGCAGTGAATGAAAACCATGTTGGGGATATCAAAAATCTGCAACGGCAAATTGTACCATACGCAAACAACAAAACTTTGGACTTCCCGCCTCACAAGCAATTCACGGCAAAATAATTTGAAGTAAGCAACAAACACAACCAAATTGTGTTCTTCCCTCCCCCATGATCGTCTTCGTCTTCATTTCACCGAGCGCATCTATCTATCTTCCAAACAAACGTGTTGCCGATCCAAAACCTACATACCTGGTACTTCTCCATCGCCCCCCCCCATCAGTCAAGGATATCCTTCCCTTCTTCCCTGCATGCCATCGAGTGTCCATCCCTCCGATGTATCCATTCCTCCAACTTGTCCTTTCCTCAGTGAAGTGTTGACAACCCGGAAGGATCATGAGCGCCGGAACGACTCTATCTTGTGTAATTATGTATCGAACGAGGCATCGATCAATGCGCTGTCGCACACCCAGGGCGAGCTCAAGGCCGTCCTTCTCTTGCAGGCCATGGACTATCCATCCCTCAGTCAAGTGATGACAACCCGGAAGGATCATGAGCGCCGGAACGACGGTAGTGTTGTTGTTGTTGTTGTTGCTGTTGTCTTCACATTGAAAACCGTTCCGACCTCTCTCTACCCAGCACCTTCGTATGTCCGTACTGATCCAACACTCGACGCGGTCGATTCCCGTGGTCACAGGTTAATTTACCCTAAAAAGGTACACTCAAATTAACTGGCCCCGAGGGGTCCGCAAGTCGATAGAAATCAACGACAGATATTCTGGAGTCCTCCACTCCCTCTGCGCGCTAGGCGAGGTAACAACTGAGACTAGGAGTCACCATCGCAGGCCGGAGAGAAAGAGGTACACCCCCTTGGTTCAATCTTGGTACTTCACAACGCAAGCAGAGACAAGGCCATCTGGCAGAGAAAAAGAGAGAAAAAAAGAGAGAAAAAAAGAGAGAAAAAAATAAAAGGAAACAGCAGTAAGGAAAGAGATACATATGCATCGAACAAGGTATCGATCGATGCGCTATCGCACACCCAGGGCGACCTCCGTGACATATCATGTCCTTCCTTCTGGCAACATGAGAACCCCCCCCCTCGCATTTGCACAACTCGGTCAAAGGAGTATCCATAGCACAACAGAAAAAAAAAGTAATAGCAATTATTTGCGCGGTGAACCAACCACCTACTGCACGCTGATTGCTGCGAAAGCAGCACCCGAACATTGAATGAATGCCATCGGAGATAATAAGAACCTTCCAACGGCAAAACTGCACCATATGCAACAACAACAACAAAACTTTGTTTTTTTCCTGCCTCACGAGCAGAACAACGCCAAATGATTCGTATGCAACAACAACAACAATACCTTTGTTCCTCCCTGCCTCACCATCATCGTCAACCGCGCGCGCGTGTTCCAAAAAAACGCGCTGCCGATCCAAAACCTGCTCTCTGCTATCATCAGCCAACGCGCTTCTACTCTATACAAATAACCCGCCATTTCGATTTTCTCCTGCGCCCTGTCTACAACGAGGCAACAACGAGGCAGCCGACCAACACACACACAAAAATGAGAGACAAAACATAACGTTTTCTCCTCCCGCTCTGACTCTTTCCGTCCGCGCCACACAGCAATCACTCAACCAAACGCTGCTTGTTGATTGATCCCCCACCCGCCCTTCCCTGGCCCACCTGTCTTCACAGACACACACCAACCCCTCGCTTCAATCGCTGCCTCCACCGGCGTCGTCGTAAAATAGTAGCGATGCGTTCTTCTTGCCTTGGTTTCCGACTAATGCCCCCCCCCCCCCCCCCCCCCCCCCCCCCCCCCCCCCCCCCCCCCCCCCCCCCCCCCCCCCCCCCC